AAGCCGCTGTGACCGCTGGTGAGGGCGCCACGCTGATCACCATCCTATGCCACCATCACAAGGAGGTACCGATACCGCAACTCCCCAGACCTCTCCTGGGGTGCGTTCTTACCAGGAGCTCGAGGCGAACCCAGCGGCAGCGACAAGGGCCTCCCAGAAGGCCCAAGAGGGCGAAAACGAGGGAAAGGTAGCGATATCGGTACCTCCTCCTCCTCCTCCTCCTCCTCCTCCTCCTCCTCCTCCTCCTCCTCCTCCTCCTCCTCCTCCTCCTCCTCCTCCTCCTCCTGTGACCCACGGGGGGCCAAGAGCGAGGGCGAAGACGACGCGAAGAGTGGCGCGAGAGCGAGGGCTAGAGAACGAGGGCGGGAGCAAAGAAGACGACCAGGCGATGCAGAGCGCCCGAGACCAGAGCCGAGGATGAGAGGGGCCCAGGTCGAGGACGAGGAGCTATTTATATGAGGAGGAGGAGGAGGAGGAGGAGGAGGAGGTCAACCTGTTTGTCCTCAGCGTGGACATTGTTCATGACCCCACCCTGGGAGACCTCACAGCACCACAGACAATTGAGTTTTGGCTAAACATGTTGCGTTCAGGGAGAGTTGCAGGGCTAATCATGAGACCCCCGAGCGGAAGTTGGTCGGCAGCAAAGCTCAGACCAGCGCAGAATGCACGGAGACCGCTAAGGCCGCTTCGCTCGGCGTTGCATCCATGGGGGTTAAGGCAGATCAGCAAGAAAGAGAGAGAGAGAGCAGGTTGAGACAGCCAATTTACTCTGGCGAACAGCCATCACCTTTTAACATGAAGCGTGGTTGCAGCAGATACCAGCTATATCAGAGCATCCTGACCAGTGCAGCTGGATCCAGGAAGTCCCCAGCATCTGGAAGATTAGAGAAGTAAGTGCGTTGGCTGCCCGTCCCCATGTTGCTTTGCACAAGATCCACTTATGCAGGTTTGGTGAACGCGTGAGAAGACCGACCGCCATCCTAGCCGTTCACCTCCCAGCTCTTACTAGCTGGTTGACAGGCATGCCCGATGGTGCCCAATGTAATCATGTGAACGGACATAGGGCCCCTACACCTCGAACATCGAGGGCTCCCCGTGCACCAGGAAATATCCCAGAGGATTTTGTCACATGTTGTCCGCCACACTGCTACAGGAAGTCAGGCAGCGTTGGCCACTGTTATCTCGTGAGCGAGTTAGACCCCAGACCCCCAATCCCCCAGCTTGTGGGCCGATGCAGTGGAATCTCCACCTCGAGCGTCGGCTACGTGAGCTAGTGGATTTGGGATTCGCAGGCGACGACTGGCCACTACCAGCGGGATTGCGCAGATGTCACCCCCCACGGGATCCATATGTGCAGACTACTGCTGGGTTGGATTGTGCTGTACACCAGAGGAGGTAAGTACCCTGTGCCGACCAGAGGACATTCCTCCCTCTCCCTCACCCCGGCTGCTGCCCAAGCTTTGGGGAAGGGCCTGGGTGGGAAGGTGTTGCCGAGCACAAGTGCTCCGCAAGAGTCCGCTCTTGAAAAAACAGTACCATCCAGGTGTTGCTGTCAAAGACAGCAACCCGTCTCAGACAGTACCCTGATGCATGGATGAAGGACTCTCATAACCGACCCACCCCCTTTCTTCCAGGCCTGTTATCCCATCTCTCGCGCAGTAGGCAGTAATCCGTGCCGCCGCTGCAGTCGTGTGCTGCCGCCGCTCCATTCTCTCTTTATCCTCTTGTTTAGGCATCGAACCTCTCTGCCTGAGTATGAATGAATGAATGAATGAATGAATGAATGAATGAATGAATGAATGAATGAATAATTGAATGAATGAATGAATGAGGCGGAGGAGGGGGAGAAAAAGGAAGAAGAGGAGGAGGGGCCCAGGACGAGGACGAAGAGCCGTAAGTCCCCAGGGGGTCTGCGTCCTGCTGCGCACAAAGGGGGCCCGGCAGTCTGGGCGAGGCAGTCTGAAGCCAGCCGTCTGATCCATTTTGGCGGCGCGCTTGCTTCGGCAAGCGGCCGTGGCCCAGCTTGCTCGGACGCGCGTGCGGACCACCTCTGCCGCGCCGCGACGTGAAAGAAGCGCCGCGAGGTGAGGAGGCGCAACCGTCCCAGACCCCCTCGGTGCGCACAGACGATGAGGGCGAGGGGCCCAGCCCTCCAACTTCTCGAGAAAACGCAGGGCGGAGGCTCTCTCCCCAGCTCTCGGCCTCTGGGGGCCCTCGCTTCTCCTGGACCCACAAAAACTCATCATTGGCCCTTGCTTCCCCTACACCTTTCTCCCCCCCCCTTTGTCGCCGCCACTGGGGTGGCGATAAAGGAAGGGGGGGGAGGAAAGGTATACTTTTCGGGCCCTCGAGGCCCCGTTCTGGGCCTCACAAGGCCCGTTCAGGGGCACTAAAGGTCCCCTTTTCTGAAGCCCTCGCTGCCCCCCCCATTTGTCGCCCCCCATTGCGCGACGCCCGCGCGCCCCCCAGTGAGAGAAGGACCTGACCTCCCGGGGGGCCCGCACTGGGAAGCGCAAGACATCGGATGCCTTGGAAGGGGCAGGGCAAGGCAAGGCAGCCTGCGTGCCTACTCCACGTGGGGGAGCGGCCCCCCTGGAGGGCGGACGCAGGATCTGGCGCAGGACCGGCCAAATGCCGTGTGAACAACACCCTATTCCTCTGCGTCGGGCCGCGATACACGGGGGTGCGAAAAAGGAGGGGGGCAGCGAGGGCTGCAGAAAAGGGGCCCTTAAGGGCCCCCAAAGGAGCCCTTTAGGGTCTCAAATGGGGCCCGTAGGGCCAGAAAAGGGCACCCTTCTTTCCTCCCAGAAAAAGGGCGCCCAACTGTGGCGGCAACTGCTGCATCCGGAAGATGAGGGGTGGAGGGGTGGCTTTCCTTCTTGTCGAAATACACGTCCTCTCTCCGGCGGTCGTGGACGTCCTGCGCTGCGTCGCCCCTCCTCCCGATGCTGCTGCTCCTCCCCCACCTCCTCCTCCTCCTCCTCCTCCTCCTCCTCCTCCTCCTCCTCCTCCTCCTCCTCCTCCGCCTCCTCCTCCGCCTCCTCATCCACCCTCCTCCACCTCCTCCAAACCCTCCTCCTCCCTCCTCCTCTTCCCCTCCTCCCCACCTCCTCCTCCTCCTCCTCCAGCCTCCTCCTCCTCCTCCTCCTCCCACCATCCTCCGGCTCCTCCACCCCTCCACCTCCTCCTCCTCCTCCTCCTCCTCCTCCCTCCTCCTCCTCCTCCTCCTCCTCCTCCTCCTCCTCCTCCTCCTCCTCCTCCTCCTCCTCCTCCTCCGCGCCTCCACCTCCACCTCTGCGCCGTCCTCCTCCTCCTCCTCCTCCTCCTCCTCTCCTCCTCCTCCTCTCCTCCTCCTCCGCCTCCTCCTCTCCTCCTCCTCCTCCTTCCTCCTCCTCCTCCTCCGCCTCCTCCGCCGTCCTCCGTCCTCCTCCTCCTCCTCCTCCTCCTCCTCCTCCTCCTCCCTCCTCCCTCCTCCTCCTCCTCCTCCTCCTCCTCCTCCTCCTCCTCCCTCCTCCGCGCCGTCCTCCTCCTCCTCCTCCTCCTCCTCCTCCTCCTCCTCCTCCTCCTCCTCCTCCTCTCTCCTCCTCCTCCTCCTCCTCCTCCTCCTCTCCTCCTCCTCCTCCTCCTCCTCCTCCTCCTCCTCTCCTCCTCCTCCTCCTCCTCCTCCTCCTCCTCCTCCGCCCTCTCCGCCTCCTCCTCCTCCAAAATTGCACAATATGAATACTACTGTCCTGTCTCCCCTGACTCTGTCTGGAGAGTGTACCGTCATCTCCGCGTTTTGTTGTCGCAAACAGGATTTCAATTGTTTGTTGTTGTTTCAGATGTGTTGTTTCAAATATTGTCGTTTCTGGTTCTTCCAACACGGTACTCCCGCTGCAGCGCAGCTCTCAATTACGCGCTTCGGTCATTCCAAATCGCGCTCCCGCTGCAGCGCTGGCCTCGTTCCCGCGCCTCCAGACGGCACTTGGCGCTCGAAAGCGCCCACATCGGGCAAGCACGGTTGCGGAGGACATGAAGCCGGCATTCCGGACAAGCCCTGTCCTCTCGTAGACGGGCCACTTACCCTCAAAGTCATCCTTTGCCATGCCACGGCATGCAATGCGATGCTGTGTTGTGCACCGATGTGCGATGCCATGCTTTGCATTGCTATGCTTTGTGATGCAATGCTTCAATACGCAATGCCACACCATGCTATGACATGCTATGCTCTTCCGTGCTCTTCTACGCCATTATGTTCCATCCATCGCGAACCCTCTTGGGATCATTGCCCTGCTCGACATCCAACTGTGCGAATAGATAAATGGGAGGGAGGGATAGGACGTCAGATGTGACGCGAGCGCACCTAGCTTGTCCCCCTCCTCCTCCTCCTCCTCTTCCTCCTCCTCCTCTTCCTCCTCCTCCTCCTCTTCCTCCTCTTCCTCCTCCTCCTCGTCTTCTTCTTCTTCTTATTATTATTATTATTATTCTTCTTCTTCTTCTTCTTCTTTTTCTCCTTCTTCATTATTCTTTTATGTTTCTTAGTATTATTATTATCATTATTACCATTATTATTATTATTATTCCTCCTCTTCCTCTTCCTCTTCCTCCTCCTCCTCCTCCTCCTCCTCCTCCTCCTCCTCCTCCTCCTCCTCCTCCTCCTCCTCCTCCCCCCCTATGCCTATACCCCCCTAACGTTGCCCCTGACTCTGACATCGCTGCTGCGCATGCAGCGATGGGTGTCCTCTTCCTCCCCTCCGCTCCCCCATCCGCCTCCCCTCGGCATCGTCCTCCTCCTCCTCCTCCTCGGGCTACTCCTCCTCCTGCTCCTCCCCTCCTCCTCCACCTCCTCCTCCTCCTTCCTTCCTCCTGCCCTCCTGCAATAAGCGAGGAAGACGAAGGCAACGGCAGCACGGCGGGATCGTGTCGTGACGACTTCAGCGTTGGTTTCTGAACCCGCATGGATTGTTCAACCTTGAACGATCGGCGACTCCTATCGCCAGATCATTCCATACTAGACGAGTCTGAGCCACTGGCGGCGTTCAACCTTGAACGCCCGCGGCGGGGTCGCCGCCGCCCCCGTGTGCGGGCCTCGGCTACCAGGCCTCTGTCTGAGAACTCACCGACTGAAGGCTGCAACGACACATCGATTCAATGGTCCAGAGTGCCACACCCTCGCAGAGTCTCTCCTGGCAGTAAATGAAGCCGAAGCCCTTCTCCGAATCCATCATCTTCACAATACCCTCGTACCTCTGGGCGATGGAAGAGGGCGAGCTGGGCGACAACGACACCACCGTTTGAGCCTGCTTCATCATACCTCCCTTTGCTTCTCCGCACCCTCTGTTGCCTCGTTTCATTCAACATGATCGCCATCGCTACGACACACCCCAACGTCACCAGCATCAGATTAACGATCAGTCCTGAAGGTCCCATTCGATGTTACTCGATGCAAGAATCGCCATCATCGCCATGAGATCGCCATCGTCCTTGTCCCAGTCGTTTTTGCGTTGTCGCCGGCTTCGTTATCATGGACACGTCAATCACCATTCAGATCATCAGTCGCATCCTCATCTGATGCATCTGATTCATCAGATTCGACTCGCATATCGAATATCAGCATCATCATCATCATCATCATCATCATCATCATCATCATCCACATCATCATCGTCGCATCATCATCATCAGCATCGTCATCATCATCATCATCATCATCATCATCCTCATCATCATCATCATCATCATCATCATCATCAGCAGCGGCAGCAGCATCACCAACACCATCATCGCCAGCAGCAGCAGCATAATCGGCATCAGCATCAGCAGCAGCATCATCGTCATCATCATCATCATCATCATCATCATCATCAGCATCAGCATCCTCAGCATCAGCATCAGCAGCATCAGCATCGTCATCATCATCATCAGCATCATCACCACCAGCATCAACATCATGAGCAGCAACAACATAATCATCCTCATCAGCAGCATCATCATTAACAGCAGCATCAACATCAGCGTCAGCATCGTCAACAGCATCATCCGCATCAGCATCATCGTCAGCAACAGCATCATCATTATCATCACCACCATCATCATCGTCGTCACCGTCGTCGCCATGATCATCATCATCAGCAGCATCATCAGCATCATCAGCATCATCATCATCAATATCAGAATCAGCGTCAGCATCATCATCGTCAGCATCAACAGCATCATCAGCGACAGTATCATCGCCATCATCATCATCATCATCATCAGCAGCAGCAGCATCATCATCATCAGCAGCAGCATCATAGTCATCACCATGATCAGCATCATCATCATCAGCATCATCACCTGGTCGTCGTCGCCGTCGTCGGAGTCGTGATCATCATAATCAGCATCAGCATCATCAGCATCAGCATCAGCATCATCAGCATAATCTTCATCGCCAGCGTCATCATCATCATCATCATCATCATCATCACCATCATCATCATCATCATCATCATCATCATCATCATCATCATCATCATCATCATCATAGTCAGCATCATCATAGTCAGCATCATCATAGTCATCATCTTCATCGTCAGCATAATCATAGTCAGCATCATCATCGTCAGCATCAACAGCATCATCAGCGACAGTATCATCGCCATCATCATCATCATCATCATCATCAGCATCACCATCATCACCATCGTCATCACCATCATCATCAGCAGCAGCATCATCACCATCATCAGCATCATCATCGTCATCATCATCATCATCATCATCATCATCATCATCATCATCATATTCATCATATTCATCATATTCATCATCGTCATATTCACCTTCATCTTCAACCTGATCTGTATCCTCATTCTCGTCCTCGTCCTCATCCTCATCCTGGTGTTCCTGATGGCCGTCAGACGCTCACTTAGCTACTCAAATGATTTCGCTCATGGTGTTCCTGTCTCCTCAGCCTGCTCCTCCTCATCATCCTCCTACTCCTCCTCCATCCCCTCATCCTCCTCCTCCTCCACCTCCGTCCGCCACCTCATCATTACAATCACATCAAACATCATGAGCATCATCATCAGCAGATTCATCAGCGTCATCAACATCATCCAAATCAGCATTAGCATCAGCAGAATCAGCATCATCACCATCACTATCATCAATATCATCATCATCATCATCATCATCATCATCATCATCATCATCAGCATCATCATCAGCATCATCATCAGCGTCATCAACATCATCATCATCATCATCACCACCATCATCCGCACCATCCTCATCCTCATCCTCATCCTCATTATCATTATCATTATCACTATCATCCTCATCCTCATCATCAGCATCAGCATAAGCATCAGCATAAGCATCAGCAGCATCAACATGATCATCAGCATCAGCATCATCAGCATCATCAGCATCACCATCACCACCACCACCACCACCATCATCATCATCATCATCATCATCAGCAGCATCACCATCCCGACCCCCTTGATCACACCCCGGTTCTGCTCATCTAACTCCTCCTCCTGCTCCGACTCCTCCTCCTCCGCCCTGTGCCAATGCTGCTCGATACTTCTCTGGGGAAGTCGGCTGGGGACGCACGGGGCACCACTAAGGTTGTGGGATGCTACACCCGACGAGAACCCCAGCCGAGTCCCCAGTGGAGTGAGCAGCAACGCTGGCGGTCTGGCTTACCCTCTACACGTGCGCACAAAAGGTACGCACATTCAAGGCACAACCTGGTGACTAGGCCAGCGGGCCTGAATATATATATATATATATGTATATATATATATATATATATATGTATATACCCCAGTCCCGAGGCAACGACCTCCAGGACACGGACCGGCGGCAATGCTGGCGGTCCTGTGCTCTCTCTCTCTCTCTCTCTCTCCATACTCGCACACCTGAGGTACTGACCTCCAGGAGTCAGCCTGGCGGCAATGCCGGCGGTCCTGTTTGCCTTCCACACCTGCACACCAAGAGGCGTCGACCTCCAGGACACACCCCGGCGGAAACGCTTGCGGTCCTGTCAACCCTCTACACGTGCACTCCCATTCAGGTCATTACCCGGTGACTAGGCCAGCGGGCCTGAACATATATAACCCCAGTCACGAGGCATCGAACTCCAGGACACAGACCGGCGGCAATGCCGGCGGTCCTGTGAACTCTCTCAACACTCGCACACCTGAGGTGCTGACCTCCAGAACACAGCCGGGCGCAAATGCCGGCGGTCCTACCTCCACTTGCCCAGAAGAGGTACGGCCCCACTGCACAGCCACTGTGCCTCCATGAGGCTCGTTGGTGAGGCGGGAGCTGGGATGCCCACCCCTATTGATGAACAGGCGTTGGCATCCGTATACTTCGCAGCTTGTTTTTAAAGAGTAGCTACTGTCCAACCGAGAGAAATACACCATCTTCTCCCTGGCCTCCTTGGCCTCCGCTTGCCCTCACTCCGTTCCCACCTCCTCAACACTCTGGGTAAGGGTCATTGCTCGCATAGCAGAGGCGTGCACTGCACGCTACTCGGCAAAAGAGAGAATGGGGCCTTCAGGACCGCCACCAAAAAGACGTATTCGAGTGGACTGTCCAAAGCTAGTGCTGCTGCGGTGCTAGATAGTCTCGCGCACCTCGTGCCTCTCGAATCGGACGAGGAGACTGACTTTTGCTACGGAGCTGACCCCGAAGAATCGCGAGCGGGCTTGATGGCCTTTTGCCCTGGTCCGAGGACGCGGACGCCCGATTTTGTGTCACTCCCGATTTCGCTCGTCGATCCGGTCGTCGTCGTGTCGATCCTGAGCTTGAGCGATTCGGGTCTGGGCCGTCTCAGCCTAATTCTGGTCCCTCGGCGGCCCCCTCGTGTGAGTCCCTTGTTCCTGTCCCATCTGCCAGTGGTGCCGAGGACCCCGAGACGGAGGCTGCTGAGGAACAGGCTTAATTAAATAGATCGAGTGTGTGCGGAGGCAGAAGATGTCTTGGCCCCATTGGGGGTCCCCTGCCCTTCTCCCCCGCCTTCCCTCGGTGCTCCCCCTCCTCCCCCCCTCCCTCTTCCAGAAGATCAGCTCGAGCGAATCCGTGCGAATCGCGAGCAGGCGCCCGAGCGCAGGCAGGCGCGGCTTCGTGCCGCCCACGCCTCCCGCGCGCCCTGGGCAGCACCAGAGAAGTGCTGCGAGGCGGGCTTTCCTCCTCTGCCTCCTCCTCTCATCCTCCTGGGATCCTTGGATGGGATGCTGATCTTCCTTTCAAGGCTCCGTCCTGTTGTTGCAGTGGCGCAGCTATTGATTCCTTTCGGTCTCGTGAGCTGCTGCTACTGCTGCTGCCAGGCAAGGTGTCAAGGAGTGCGCACGCGCGAAGCCCCTCGGCTAACAACCCCCCTCCCTCTGTCCCCCCATCTCCCCTTCTTCTACAATTTCACATTATGAATACTGCTCTCCTCTCTCCGCTGAGTCTGCCTGGAAGATCTCTGGCCCTCTCCGCGTATTGCTTACTCTGATTGTTATGTTGTTGTTAACCGTCCGATTGTTGTCGGTGGCTGAGAATGGTGCTCCCGCTGCAGCGTGGGCCACAGTTTTGGATCGGCACGTTGTTCCAGTCTTTTAGAATGGCGCTCTCGCCCCAGAGAGGGCCACGCGTCTGGATCCAAGTCCGTCTTCGTCGTTGTCGCCCCCCTCATATCCTCCGCCCTCCCCTGGTCCTCCCGCTCGCCCCCCTCCTTCCACTCCAGTTCCTGCTGCTGCTGTTGTTCGTGCTCGTCCCCCTCCATGATCATCATCATCATCATCATCATCATCATCATCATCATCATCATCATCATCATCATCATCATCATCATCATCATCATCATCATCATCATCATCATCATCATTCGCATCTTCTTCATCATCATCATCATCATCATCATCAGCATCATCAGCATCATCAGCATCCTCATCATCATCACCATCACCATCAGCAGCAGCAGCATCAGCATCAGCATCAGCATCAGCATCAGCATCAGCATCATCATCATCATCATCATCATCATCATCATCATCATCAGCATGATCATCATCAGCATCATCATCATCATCATCATCATCATTCGCATCATCAGTATAATGATCATCAGCAGCAGCAGCATCAGCAGCATCAGCATCATCAGATCATCATCCGTATCTTCATCATCATCATCATCATCATCATCATCATCATCGTCGTCGTCGTCGTCACCATCATCAGCAGCAGCAGCATCAGCATCATCAGCATCGTCAGCATCGTCAGCATCATGATCATCATCGTCATCAGCATCATCACCAGCATCAGCATCATCATCACCATCCTCCTCATCAGCACCAGCATCAGTACCACCACAACAACCACCACCACAATCACCATCATCATCAGCATCATCAGCATCATATCACCAGCATCAGTATCATCATTGTCATCACCATCCTCGGCATCATCATCATCATCAGCAGCAGCAGCATCCCCATCATCATGATCATCATCACCACCACCACCACCACCATCATCATCATCATCATCATCATCATCATCAGCATCATCATCATCATCATCATCATCATCATCATCCACATCATCATTGCCCTCCTGCTCCTCCTCCTCCTGCTCCTCCTCCTCGTCTTTCTCCTCCTCCAATGTACGCAGTTCCCCTTTACCGATTGCACATAACACGACGGACTCCTTCTGTTGGAGCTCCAGGTCGATTACGACACGCTTCCGTGGATAGAGAAAAAACTAATGCAATGGGAAGGAGCAAGCGCACCTCGCTTACCTCTTCCCCCCTCTCCTCCCCTCTTCCTGCCCCCCTCCGCCTCTCCCCCCTCCCCCTCTCCCCCCTCTTCCCTCCACAATTACACAATATGAATTCTACGCTCCTCTCTCCCCTGATGACGTCCAGAAGATGTTCGGCCCCCCTCCACGTACTGGTTTTTTACACACAAGATTCCCGGGAACTTGGTCTTCGCATGGTTTTTTCAAAATGTTGTTCCCGCTGAAGCGCTGGCCTTGTTTTCGGGTTTCCGCTCGTTCCGAATCGTGCTCCCGCAGCAGCGCTGGACTCACTTTCGCGCTTCTGCTTATTCCGAATCGTGCTCCAGCTGCAGCGCTGGCCTCCTTTCCGCGCTTCCGCTCGTTCCGAATCGTGCTCCCTCTGAGGCGCTGGCGTCATTATTTCCAGTGCCATGCCACGGCATGGTTTTCGGTCCCCTTCCAAATAGGCCCAAAAATCTAGAAAATGGCCTCCCGAAGAAACCATCGGAAGTGATTACACATTCGGTTCCGATTCGTTGATTTTGAGAAGCCCCCCCCCCACTTTGGGGCGTCGCCACGCCATGCTATGTCATGGTACGCGTTGATCTTCAACACCATGCTTTGCCATGTAATGCTACGCTGTGCTACGACATCCGACTGTGCGAATAGAGAGATCTACGTCATAGAAAAGGATCGGAGGGAGGGGTAGGACGTCAGGTATGACGCGAGCGCAACTAGCTTGCCCTTTCCCCCTCCCCTTCCTCCCGCTCAGCCTCCCCCCCCCCTCCCTCCCCACTTCTCCCTCCTTTCCTCCCCCCTCCCCCTCCCCCTCCCCATCCGCAATTACACAATATGAATAATACTCTCCTCCCTCCCTTGGTGGCGTCCGGGAAATGGGCGGCTCCCTCCGCGCATTGGATTTTTACAAACAAGATTCCTGGGAAACGGGTTTTCGCTTGGGTTGTTTTCAACATGCCGCTCCCGCTAAAGCGCTAGCTTCATTTTCGGGTTACCGAGCATTCCGAATCGTGCTCCCGCGGCAGCGCTGGCCTCCTTTCCGCGCTTCCGCTCGTTCCGAATCGTGCTCCCGCTGCGGCGCTGGCTTCATCATTTCCAGTGCCATGCCACGGCATGGTTTTCGGTCCTTCCAAATCGATTTAAATAGGCCCAAAATCTTTGGGGCCGCAGAAGCCCCCCCCCACTTTGGGGTGTCACCACGCCATGCTACTACGCGTCCTCAATTCCGCGCTTCCGCGCTCGAGTTTTTGCTCAAAATGCTGCTCTCGCTGAAGCGCTGGCCTCATTTTCGGGCTACCGCTCGTTCCGAATCGTGCTCCCGTTGCAGCGCTGGCCTCCTTTCCGCGCTTCCGCTCGTTCCGAATCGTGCTCCCGCTGCGGCGCTGGCGTCATCATTTCCAGTGCCGTGCCACGGCATGGTTTTCGGTCCCCTTCCAAATAGGCCCAAAAATCTAGAAAATGGCCTCCCGAAGAAACCATCGGAAGTGATTACACACTCGGTTTCGAGTCGGTGATTTCTTTGGCCGCAAAGCCTCGCCCCACTTTGGGGCGTCGCCACGCCATGCTATGTCATGGTACGCGTTGATCTTCAACGCCATGCTATGCCATGTAATGCTATGCCATGCTACGACATCCGATTGTACGAATAGAGAGGAGATCTACGCCATGGTAAGGGATAGGAGGGAGGGAGAGGACGTCAGGTATGACGCGAGCGCACCTAGCTTGCCTCCCCCCTTTCCCCCCATCTGCACCCCCCCTCTCCCGTCTCCCTCCCCTCCTCCGCAATTACACAATATGAATACTACTCTCCTCCCTCTCCGGATGACGTCCAGAAGATATCCGGTCCCCCTCCGCGCACTGTTTTTTACACACAGGATTCCCGGAAACGGGACTTCGCTTTTGTGACTTCAACATGTTGCTCCCGCTGAAGCGCTGGCCTCATTTCCGCGCTTCCGCTCGTTCCGAATCGTGCTCCCGCTGCGGCGCTGGCCTTCCTTCCAAATAGGCCCCAAAATCTAGAAAATGGCCACCCGAAAAAACCATCGGAAGTGATTTCACATTCGGTGTCGATTCATTGACTGTTTGGGCCGCAGAAGCCCCCCCCCCACTTTGGGGCGTCGTCGTTTTCAGGAAGTACCGAGCGGGAGCCCCATTTCTGCTTTGAGAAGGCGATGTTGAAAGCAGAGCCAGCGGGTCCTCTCCATCAGCCCCGCCTTGTGTGGAGCTTCTTGGGGAGCCCAAGGAGCTAGACATGGAGCCACGACTCCAGACCGGCCCAGACCTCTCGACGAGGACCCACTTACCCTCCAAAAAAACCTGGCGCCATGCCAAGACATGCTGTGCGGTGTTGTGTTCTGCGTCGCTGGCATGCAACGCTCTGACGTACTCTTCTACGCCATGCCATGCCGTGCTCTACCATGCATCGCGCACACTCTCGCGATCACTGCCCTGCTCGACATCACGCCATGGTCAGGGATGGGGGGAGGGGCAGGACGTCAGCTATGACGCGAGCGCAACTAGCTTGCCCCTCCCCCTCCCCCCCAATCTGCACCCCCCCTCCCCCTCCCCCTCCCCCTCCCCCTCCCTTCCCCTCCTCCCCCTCCCTTCCCCTCTGCACCCCCCCTCTCCCGTCTCCCTCTCCTGGGGGGCCCGCACCCTCCGCCCCGCGGCGCCTCCGGGGCCCGTCCCTTCTCGCCGCTCCGCCGCCAGGGCTCGCACCGCTGGCGCCCGCCTCCGCCGCCGCAGCGGCGTCGTGGGCCTCGAGGCCCAGGCGCGGTGGGCGGGAAGGACGAGCGGGAGGAAAGGGGCACGAGGAAGGGGAGGGGGGAGGAGGGGGAGGGGAGGAGAGGAGAGGGGAGGAGGAGGAGGAGGAGGAAAAGAAGGAGGAGGGGGAAGCGGGGAAGGATGAGGAGGAGGAGGAGGAGGAGGACGAGGACGAGGACGAGGAGGAGGAGGAGGAGGAGGAGGACCAGTGTAAGCCAGAGAGTCATCAACGATATTGGAATAAACCTTCCCTCCAAGCTCGTTTTTTTGTCATAGGCCCCTACAACGACTCATTTCCACTGGGGGAACTGCCTCGTTGGAAAACAACCGTTTGAAGACCCTGAGGCATGCCAAACAATGTTCCCGGGATTCCAACGCCACGGGTCAACGTGATTTGACTGCTACCTCTAGACGATCCTGAAATCGTGCCACAACGCCACTCTTGGAACTTCAACACCGCGAATCAACGTAACTGTTGCACCTTCATAGTCCTGCGTCTTTCCACAACACCATTTCTGGTACGTTGAGCATGGGAACCACTGAAACTCCCGCAAAAGGTTTAATCGGATGTGCGCGGCGCTAAGGCAAAAGCCACGTTTTGAAGATGAACCACCTTCAATCCGTGAAACGCATGCGGCGCTAAAACGAAAACCACCTTTTGAAAATGACCCGCCCTCCATCCGCGAAACTCACGCATTATTTCCCAACCCTCATGCGTTGGGTATTCGATTTGAATAGAGCGCTGCGGTCGCACACCTCCCGCCTCCCTCTTCCCATCAGCCCTTCTACTTGCCAGCTACCGCGTCTCCTATCTCGTCGTTTGCCTGGATGCTCGGCGGGGGGCTGCGATCTGCGAAAAGCTCGACACGTTCGAGGGCTGCTGGGGGGGCCAACGGAATGACGTGCTACACAGACCCAGAGTAGACCTCGCCATCCCTGTGGGGCTGCGATCTGCGAAACAGTCGCCATTTTCGATGGCTGCTGGGGGTTCCAGTGTGATGACGCGCTCGCAAACCCAGATTCGACCTCACCATCCTATCCTTGCGGGGCTGCGATCTGCGAAACTGTCGCCACTTTCGAGGATTGCTGGGGGGTCCAGCGGGGTGCCGTGCTACGCAGACTCAGATTGAACCTCGCCATCCCTCTGGGGCTGCGATCTGAAAACTGTCGCCACTTTCGAAGGCTGCTGGGAGATCCAGCGGAACGACGTGCTACGCAAACTCAGATTAGACCTCGCCATATTTGTGGGGATGCGATATGCGAAACTGTTGCCACTTTCGAGGGCTGCTGGGGGGGCGGGCCAACGGAGCGACGTGCTACCCAGACCCAGACTAGACCTCGCCATCCCTACGGGGCTGCGATTTGCGAAACTGTCGCCACTTTCGGAGGCTGCCGGGGGGGCCAGCGGACTGACATGCTTCGCAATCGCAGATTATACCTAACCATTTTTGCTGGGCTTCGATCTGCGAAGCCGTCGTCATTTTCGAAGCCTGCTGGGAAATCCAGCGGGGCGACGTGCACCGCAAACTCAAACTACACCTCGTCATCATTGTGGGGACGCACTTTCGAGGGCTGCAGAGGGGGGCAACGGAGCGACGTGCTACCCAGACCCAGGTTAGACCTCGCCATCCCTGCGGGGCTGCGATATGCAAACCTGTCGCCAACTGTCAACACAATCGAAAGCTGCTGGGGGTCCAGCACAGTGACGTGCCACACAAACTCTGATTAAAACTCGCCGTCTTTGTGGGACTGCGAGTTGCAAACCTGTCGCCCCTTTCCGAAGGCTGCTGGAGGGGTCCAGCGGAGTGACGTCCCACGAAGACTCAGATTAAACCTCGCCATCCCTGTGGGGCTGCGATCTGCGAAACTGTCGCCACGTTCGAGGGCTGCTGGCGGGGTGGGCGGGGCGACGTCCTACCCAGACCCAGGTTAGATCTCGCCGTCCCTGTGGGGCTGCGATATGCGAAACTGTCACCACTGTCGAAAGCTCCTGGGGGGGGAGACGCCCAACCGAGACTCATACTATACCTCGCCATCCCTGCGGGGCTGCGATCTGCGAAACCGTCGACAGTTTCGATGGTTGCTGGGGGGTCCAACGGAGTGACGCCCCACGCAGACTCTGATTAGACCTCAACACCGCTGTGGGGCTGCGAAACTGTCGCCACGTTCGAGGGCTGCTGGGGGTCCAGCGGGGCGCTGTCTCTGGCCGTCCGCACACCTGGCGGAGCGCCTTCGCGCGCTTCGCTCCCGCACTGAAAAGTAAAGAAGGAAGCAGGGAACGTGGCGAGCGAGCTAGGCCTCGCTCGCTTACTGCACAACCTGTACGCAGGTTTGGTCATGATCAGTTTGCCGAGCGCAGCGGCGACATGGCGCAGGCAGCGCTGCATCTGTTAGAGCACGACCGGCAAAGGCAACACTTTTCTTCGGCCTCCTCCCTTCACGTCCGTCGTCGTCTTCTGTCCCCTGCCACGTTCCATGTGCTGCTGCCGCGCTGGCGGGTCGGCCCCCCACGCGTCCGTCCCCTGCCATTTGTTCCCGCCCCCATGTCCTCCTCAAGCATGGGCATTCGCTCCTCGTCCTTCTGTTGTTTTCCTGTGAATCGCGCCACGTGAGCGCATCCCATGTAGCTTGCACAACATATAGCGGCACCTGCACTGCCATTGTCGTGGCAAGTTTGGGCCAACGTCCCTCGCCACTTGACGCAAATTGGTGAGGACGTCGCAAGGTAATTAAACCAACCCGCCCTCCATCTGTGAAAACGTTGCGAATGTTTAGGCTTCAGGATCCGAAATGGTGAGGAAGGCTCAAACGAAACGTCCAACCCACCGTAAAAACTTGCCTCGGGGTGCGACAATGATAAATTTCAGACAGGGAAAAGGAATGAAGCAGGAGGAGGAGGAGGAGGAAGAGGAGGTGGAGCCAAAGGAAGCGGAGGAGGATGAGGAGGAGGGGGAGGGGGGGGGGAAGAGGAGGAGGAAGACAAGGAGGACGAGCAGGAGGAGGAGGATATGTCTGGACGCTTGTGAAGGGAAGGAGAAGGAGGAGGAGGCGGAGGAAAAGGAAGAGGAAGAGGAGGAGGATATGTATTGACGTCGGTGAGAAAGAGGAGGAGGAGGAGGAGGAGAACGAGGAGGAGGACGACGACGAGGAGGAAAGAGGAAGAGGAGGAGGAGGAGGAGGAGGGTGAGGGGGAGGACCAGGGAAGTCGGAGGAGCGGACATGGGGGGGGCGCGACAAAGATGAAAAGGAACTTGGATCCAGAAAAGTGGCCCACTGTGGGGCGAAAGCGCCATTCTGGACGATGGGGGCAAATCGCGGATCCAAAAATGAGGCCAGCGCTGCAGCGGGAGCACCATTCTGAGACACCGAAAATCCGATTAAAAGAAAAGCCATGTGCAAAGACACAATACACGGAGAGCGGGACAACTTCCGCACTGAGTCTGGGGAGAAGGGAGAGCCGTATTCATCTTCAGCAATGTGGAGGGGAGAAAGGAGAGGAGGGGTGAGCAAGGGAGGAAGAGGAGAGCAGGGGACGAGGGGGAAAGGTGAGGGGGGAAGCCCCAGCCCTGGGAGAGGGGGGCAGCCGGAATGAGACAACTTATAACCCACTTGCACGGACCGCAACCATTCTGGTGAAATCCCACCCACTGTTGGTACCAATACCAACCAGACAAAGAAGATGTCAGAGGTCATTCGCACATAGGAGATCTATATCCGGTATTAGGGCCTTTTGAGATCGTTCCGACATTCGTCAAATATCTTTAAGGCCTATACAAGAAATACTTCCGACATCCGTCCGACCTCGATCATATATCGATAACACTTACTTCAGATACCCTCAGGAAATCAATAGCTCATTCTTCACAAATTATTGGGCGGTCCAAGCAGCCTTAGGATACCCAAGGCATAATCACGACATCCTCAAGAGACGCTCATAAGTCACACTATTGAGAGAGACGCCCGAAATCCTTCATAGATCTTTCAAGGGTTCTTGGAGCATCATTCAGAAAGGACCCTCAGCGACATTCCACAGAGAGATCCCTCAGAGGCTCCTGCCACTACTAACACTACTGATACGATATGATCACTCAAGATCGTGATACCGCTGCACCTACTAACACTCAGACTGGTAGTGAAGAAGTACTAGTAGCATACGACTGCCATGATTCCTGATACAGGTTCTCATGCTGGCACTACTACCACGACTACTGCTAAACATACAAGTCCGATGGCATCTATGAGGTAACGTGTCTGCCACGATTACGTTTGCCACCTTCGGCCACGACTACGACTGTTGCCGCCAGCCGGCTACGACTGGTAAGACTACTCTTACTAATCATAGGCTGATGCTATGGATTGTGTCACGTGCGCTAGGCACCAGCCGTCTACTACACGAACGTTCCACGACTACTACTACTACTACTACTACTACTACTACTACTACTACTACTACTACTACTACTACTACTACTACTACTACTACTACTACTACTACTACTACTACTACTACTACTACTACTACTACTACTACTACTACTACTACTACTACTACTACTACTACTACTACTACTACTACTACTACTACTACTACTACTACTACTACTACTACTACTACTACTACTACTACTACTACTACTACTACTACTACTACTACTACTACTACTACTACTACTACTACTACTACTACTACTACTACTACTACTACTACTACGACTACTGCTACTACTACTACTCCTACTACTACTACTAGTACAACTACGACTACTACTGCTACTACTACTACAACTACGACTACTACTCTACTACAGCGACTACGCCTACGACTGCGACTGATATCACTACTACTACTACTGCGACTACTACTACTGCTACTACGACCACTACTACGACTACTACTACTACTACTACTACTACTACTACTACTACGACTGCTACTACTAATACTACTACTACCACAACTACTACTACGACTACTACTACTACTACTACTACTAC